GGGGTGGTGGTTGAGTGATTCATAGTTCAAATCATATTGAATTCTGCATTTTACAACATTCCAGCAGAGATCTATGCTTTCCTTATGTCAATGTTTCCCATATATTATATGACATCTTTGCCCTTGGCCTTACAGTGGAAAAATAGGGATTGGAAAAATCCACTTCAAATGATTAATTTCCCTCACTGGTCTTTGAATGCCCACAGGCACACAATGGTTACTATTGCTTCACATCTGTACATAACCTCTATGATATCACATAAATATCTTGAAAAAGTATTGTTTATTATTTGTTAACAGTGTGTACTCATATCACTGTTACCTGTTTTATGACCCCTTCCCAACATACATACAGTATATAGGTTGAACTAGAAGCACCTGTGTCTTTTTGCATATGAATGCAGTGTGTAATATAGCTTTTCTCTCAGAATACCCTAGAGGTATAGCTAACCTAGATGTTTTCAATAAGTGACGTCTGTAAAAGCAGGGCAGAGGTTAGTCTACCATTATCATGTTACAGTTGAATGATCTTTATGTTAGACATTTCACCTATTTTCTTTGCATCAACAATTGTGTAAATAAATAACTGCTTTTATCTCCTAGCATTGTATTTCAACTTCATTACTGTATATTTAGGAATATTCTGTGCTTTGTGCTGTCAGGGAAATATCCTACATTTCTAATAACAATTTATATTGCTGTAACATTTTATTAGTTGGTTACCATGTGTAGCAGATGACATGGCTTTCCATATCTACCTGGAAAATAGAAAACCCATGTACATATTCCTGTTTTACTGATTGATGGAGAATCCATTACTGCTACCCCTATCTGCTGCTTTAAACAACCTAAAGTGACTATGTCACTTTAACAAATGTAAAAAAAAGAACATGCTGACGAGTATAAAGTGCAGCAACTTTCACTGCCCTTGCTTTACCTCAATGCTGGGCTATTTTGGTTGGGTAATTCTTCAGCACTTCCAAGTTGTCGCCACTTGCCTGTTCTTTCCCACCAAATTTTAAAGGCTGCTTCCATGCTCAGAGTTACACTGCTTTTTCCAGCAATGAGTTTCTGGAATTGATCCTTGTAAATTGGGCCAAAAGCCATGCAGCTCTGAGCTCGCTGGTGTTTATCAAACAGCTGATTGGTGGGGATAAGATAGGTATAGTATCTGCCACTCAGCACCATAGGACATACCTACTGTCTCTTCAGTTCCCAGGTGAAAGTTAAAAACCTCTTTTTAATTTTGCTTGAAAATAGATTTATCTATACATAAGATAAATTACATTTATCTAAGTAGAACAGAGGCTGTCTGCTGCTGTGTTGACATGATCGGTACAGGAGACTTTTGAACTACATATAAAGACCGTATATAACCTTTAGTTCGATAGATACAGAGATGATTAGATAAAGCAATCATTTCTACAGTTTATGGTGACAAACATGACCCATATTTAAAATTTAGGTGATGCTCAACTCTGTACCCACCAGTTATTCATAGCTAAATGTGACAATATCAGTAAAGTTCTACTTTTGCTATAGAAGTTATTGGATTTCTAATACATTTATATATCACTATGTTGACAATTGGTGAGTCTGTCTAAATCGGCATTTCTCAACCTTTTTTCAGTCATGGCACCCTTTTAAAAGTATGCAAATTCTCGAGGCACCCCATTCTAAAATGCAAAAGGATTGCATGTGATGCCTACAGAATCCATACCTTATACGAGTTATGGGTCTGGTATGTACTTTAAAGAGGGGGAACCCCAAAGGAAAAGAAAAATGGGATTCCCCCTTCACATCAGAGTCCCTTTACATTACAGCCCTCCTTTCTCCTCAGAAGCCACCTTCACATCAGAGTCCCCCTTTTTCACATCAAAGGCATGATTTTGTGTGAATATTTTGAGGCACCCCTAAGGAAGCCAGAAGGCACACCAGGGTGCCGCGGCACCCTGGTTGAGAAAGCCTGCTGTAAATCTTAAGATTTTCTGTTCAACAATTATGAACTGTAGCAAATGTATATTATTTTATTCAATCTAGTACTTGACTAGTGTACAGACAACAATAGACCGCAAGAAACAATACCACAAGAGGATATAAAGGATCACTATTGTTAATATTTAAGGGCAGCAAATTTAGTAATGTAGGTTTACTAAAAACGCTAGCAGTGTTCCAATTTTTATTTTTTATAGTTTTGTATTTGTCTAGATAGATCCCAATAGCAAGCTAACCAATGCACCATTTACTGTATTGTGTCTTTTGACTTGATTATCTCTTCATGTATGTCTATATAACTATCTTGAGATGCATACATTAGCTTTGTAATATTAAGACACTTAAGTAATTAGGATTTTTTTTTCTAATTTGTCTTTTTCTAGCTGCTGGTCTCATGCACACATTTAATGCACATGCCGCTACAGACATAACAGGGTTTGGAATTTTAGGACATGCACAAAACTTGGCTAAACAGCAACGAAATGAAGTTTCCTTTGTAATTCATAATTTGCCTGTATTGGCTAAGATGGCTGCTGTCAGCAAGGCATGTGGGAATATGTTTGGCCTTATGCATGGCTCTTGTCCTGAAACCTCAGGTAAGTAGTAATACTACTGGCTTAACTGCAGTCCCATGTTTAATTTGCATCTATAATGTTCCTCCATAAATGGGCAGCTTTAATTTAAAGTAAACCTGTGGCCAGGCTGTGGACATTCAATTATCTGCATATTCTTAACAATTGAAATTCATGTGAATTGTCTTCTGTGGCAATGGGGATGTATAGTTTTGTTTAGCTAGCCCGTTGTCTAGGAATCAGTTTTTACATTTTTGCTGTGTGATTCTTCCACGTCAGTAATATACTTTCTTACTTCGTGCACTCCCACGTATTATATATTGTTTTTTAGAGGACAGAAAAGGGGTATATATTTATATCACACAAATGCGTGCCTAACGCCTCACCTAGTACGAATTTTTAAAAAAAAACTTTTTTCCCCAGTTTTGATTATTATTTAGGAAAATGGCACAGCTAAAAAAATTTTTTATTTATTTGTCCTTTATTTGGAAACACCTCACATCCCTAGGATTTTAGACCTTTTTCTGTACTTCTCAGACTAAAACTAAAAGCTAACATTTTATTTTACCTCCTATTCATTTTCTAAATTTTTGGTTATTAGGCTGCTCCAAACTTTGGAACAGCCAATAATAACCTAAGTTACACAGATCCTGCAGCAGGTCAGAATCAGATCTCACTAAAGACTTCTGATCGTTGCCAGAAGCCCGAAACAATGCTTCCGCATATTAACATTTTGATAAATGTTCTATGCAAATGTAGCAAAGAAACGGTAGAGATCAGGATTTCCTAATCCTGATGTGTACAGCTGTTAAACTGTGATAGTAAGGGCGGTACATACCGCACTGCTATCACTGTCAGACCCCGATCGCTAAAAGAGATCTTGTGTCTGTTAAAGCTTAATTATTTTGTTAATGGATGCCTCAATACTGATCTCAGCGGAGTCCCGAATAGCTGCTCACATACAGTGTATGTGAGTAATCATTCAAGCACTTAGTGGCGGGGATGTACAGTGTACGTCTCCCATCACTAAGGGGTTCATACACTAAAGGTATCATGAAGTTGCCTGATAATATAGAAAGAAGATGCACCTCTTGCTTTCAAATGCAGCGTTTCCTTTTTTTTTTTCCTCTTGCACATTTAACACCAAAAGAATTTCCAAATGTAACCCAGTTTTCATTTTGTGTTCTTTAACAGGAGGTCTTTTGATCTGTCTGCCACGAGAACAGGCTGCACGCTTCTGTGCTGAAATAAAATCCCCCAAGTATGGAGAAGGTCATCAAGCATGGATTATTGGCATTGTAGAAAAGGGCAACCGTACCGCCAGAATCATAGACAAGCCACGAATCATTGAAGTTGCCCCTCAAGTGGCTACTCAAAATGTTAACCCAACTCCTGGTGCCACTTCTTAATTAAGGCTTACCTAGCTTTTTTTGTTTTGTTTTTAAATAGACCCTATTCTTTACCATCATACAATTTAAATAATTGTAAAAAAGTATATATATATATAAATATATATCATTGTGTCTGCCCATTTCTTGGCCTTGGGTCCAGTACAGCAATGGGTATGATTTAAGAAGTAAAAATAAATTGCCT